GCCAAGAGAAAAATGAGAGACATGAGACCGAACAGTGCAGAAGAGCTGAAGGCCGCTATTGAAACATCCTGGTCTTCCATAACACCTCAGCAGTGCCACAGGCTGATAGCTTCCATGCCACGCCGCTTGAGGCAGTAATTGCTGCAAAAGGGGCCCAAACCAAGTACTGAGTATATATGCATGCTTATATTTTTTCAGAGGTCCGATATTGTTCTATGTACAATCCTTGTTTTATTGATTGTATGTAATATTCTAATTTTCTGAGATTGTGGATTTGGGGTTTTCATGAGCTGTAAGCCATAATCATCACAATTATGACAACTCACGGCTTGAACTATCTTGCTTTGTATGTAATGAGTCTATCTCATATATAAGTTTCACCTTTTAATTTGCATTACTGAAATAAATGAACTTTTGCACGATATTCTAATTTTTCAAGTTTCACCTGTATATCTCACATAAGACACCTTTCTATCTCTAGGGGACCCCTTCCTCTAGGAGTGTAAGCACCAGCATTAGATCTATACTGCCCACCATTAGTGAGACATTTCCCTTTACTTTTATTAGGAAGAATATAAGGGATCATATGAGGTCTAGAATGATTATGCTGTCCACCACAGATAGATTAATCCCTAGGTGAGGCTGTTTCATTTCTATTTTCTAAGGTTAGATCCTCCTGCCATTGAAACACTGTTTTTAATTTGTAGTCTTCCTTATCCCTAAGATATGTCTTCCTCTTTTTAAACCTCGGTTCTGCCTCCTCCTTCTCAAAGATTTTATGGAGCTCCTTAGAATAATTACTATAAGTATTATCCTTAGGTTGGGATGATAGTTTTTCTTTGATTCTATTAATCTCAGCTTCTATCTAAACAAGCTTTTTGTTCTTTTTATCAATTAAAAATGTAGGAACCCGATGCTGGCCTCATTGTAATATAAAAACAATTCTACCAATTCTTCATTATGCTTTTCTGGGCACACATTCCACCTGAAGCTCCTAGGTATCATAGCCTCATCTATATATATTTACAGAAAAAGAATATCCCATTGTGTATGAATCTGAGTAATCATAAAGTGTTTGAGTCTCATAAACACTCCCCTAAGATCTGAGGAATCTTCAGATCCTTGCTCAAAACCCCTGTGACATCTGTTTTCCTACCCTTCCAATAATCAAAAATATCCATTACAAAACGTTTTTTCAAAAATATAAACACCAGCTTTAAAACAAAATATGGAAGGTATAGAGAGTTTTATACCACATTGGAGGGGTAGCAATAATGTCTGCAAGATCTCCAGGCTGGATTTTTACCAACTTAAGGCTTATAGCCCCTTGGGGCTTAATGTAGAGTGAGACATCAACTCTTTTATTAATAGTAGTTAGAACCTAGGCAATCTTATAATTTTACTTATTTGATTTTTTTTTATTTTTATATTAATTTTAGGACGTTTTGGTATTTTTATCATATAATTATTGCAGTTAGATTTTATTTGTTATATAGTTATACTATTTTAGTTATCTGAACTTTGCAAATGTATAAATTTTTTTGGTATTAATTGTAATAAGATTCTATATACGCTATATTGCCTAAAGTATTGGGACAGTCTGTCTTTACACGCACATGAACTTTAATGGCATCCCAGTCTTTGTCTGTAGAGTTCAATATTGAGTTGGTCCACCTTTTCAGCTATAACAGCTTCAACTTTTCTGGGAAGGCTGTCCACAAGGATTAGGAGTGTATCTATGGGAATATTTGACCATTCTTCCAGAAGCGCATTTGTGAGGTCAGGCACTGACGTCAGACAAGAAGGCCTGGCTCGCAGTCTCCGCTCTAACTCATCCCAAAGGTATTCTATTAGGTTGAGGTCAGGACTCTGTGCAGGCCAGTCAAGTTCCTCCACCCCAAACTCACTCATCCATGTCTTTGTGGATCTTGCTTTGTGCACTGCTGACGGTCATGTTGGCACAGGAAAGGGCCAATGCCAAACTGTTCCTACAAAGTTGGGAGAATGAAATTGTCCAAAATTTCTTGGTATGCTGATGCCTTAAGAGTTCCCTTCACTGGGACTAAGGGGTCAAGCCCAACCTCTGAAAAACAACCCCACACCAAAATCCCCCCTCCACCAAACTTTACACTTGGCACAATGCAGTCAGGCAAGTATCATTCTCCTGGCAACCCGACAGACACATCCATTGGATTGCCAGACAGAGAAGCGTGATCACTCAAGAGAACATGTCTCCACTGCTCTAGCTTCCAGTAGTGGTATGCTTTACACCACTGCATCTGATGCTTTGCACTGCATTTGGTAAAGTAAGGCTTGGACGCAGCTGCACAGCCATAGAAACCCATTCCATATATGCACTGTTGTGCTAATCTGAAGGCCACTCAAAGTTTGGAGGTGTTTAGCTATTGACTCTATAGAAACCAGTGGTAATAGACAGGCCTCTAGTAAGAGAGTATGAGGGGTGGTTACTAGGGTCTCAGACCCGCCATCACTGAAAATAAACCTCAGTACGGGAACTGGCCGAACAACCCTCCGCAAGGGGGCACTACATGTGCATGTGTTTATATATACTGCACAATATTTTTTATTTTATGCTGGTACTTGGCAAATTTTAGCATACCATTCTCTACATGCCCCACTATGACAATGCGCAGCTTCCTATGCCTTTTGTTTGACAATTGGTTGCTTACTATTCCTACAAATGGCCAGAATTAAATAACTTTATTTCCAATAGGCTTCAAATGGGTTCACCAATTTTGCTAGAGGTTTGTGAACTTCAAGCAAAATTTGCAAACCCAAACTGTGCAGTTTCACTCATCTCTATTTTCAGCTAAACAAAACAAAACGCATAACTAAACTATTTCAACTTTTTAAGGTAAAAGCAAAGGTTGTTGAGGCATATATTTGCACATACCTATAAAGTCATAGTTCTGAGTCTGCAACAGTTAGAGGCCTTAATAATCACATAACCTCATGTCAACCTACCCCAAAAATTAACCTTTAGAAATCTATCAGTTACCCAATGAATTGAAAACAATACAATCCCTATGTGGGATATAATTAAGCTCAACAGATTTTAAGCAGGGAAACTATATGAGGTAAAAACATATCTTCCTCCAAGCTAGGTAACTACAAATCTCAAGGTGGTGAGAAGACTGTTCAAGGACTGGCATGAGGAGAAGCTCAGGGGATTGGTCATTGTGGTTGAAACAGGCTGGGAACAAAACTCTGGGATTTTGGATTCAGATAAATATTCCTCTGTTTTAGATCATTCCCTAGAAAAAAAGAACAGCATGTTCTTCTAGCTATACTCTCTATTTGTCCTGGTGACCATTATCAATAAAAGTGAAACAAAATGCCAATTTTTGGGTTGTCACCAGAGCAGGAACATAGATAAACTTTCCTAATGGGACCAGTACTTCTGGTGACTCTGCTGACAACAAGGGAGAGATTTCCTATCACTTCACACAGGAAGTAAAAGGAAATCTCCCCAATGGAACACATATGGCAAAAAACCTGAAAGGCCTTATAACCCTCACTAACCATATGGTGGTTTATTATTACATTTTATTAATTTATTTATTGTTAATTTTTAATTATGAATTATAAATATTGTTTTGTAAATGTAGAAAACATGGGAAGCCAGGGAATTGCTATGTAATTTTGGAGGTATTACTTTTTAGGCATTATTTGTGTGTTTGAATGTTTGGAGTACTGTTAGTTAACATGACAGTTAACATAATCTGTGATTCATTAGCTTGCTTTTCTTTTTCCTCTTCCAGTATGTGTTGTGCATTCTTCAACCGTATGAAAGATTATGCTGTTCGGTTACACTTACTAAGTATATATTTATGTGCTATTCACTCAGAAAAATATGTTCTTGGAGAGGAAAGGCAAAAATGTGTTTTTTCTGTGAATTATCATTCAAAGAGACAGAACTTTACTCAGAAACTTTTCATTGACTCAAAGCAAGTTGACACTTTGGATCACCTAACCAAGGCAAAACAGCTGTTTACTGAACTGGTTTATACTTGCAGCCATATTAAAATTATGATGAATGATCAATAACCTTACTAATTCATCCTGAAATTTAGCTGCTAGCATTTACAAGTGAAGATCATCATTGCAGTGGCGTATTTTGGTTTTGTGCTGCCCTAGGCAAGACTAAAATCGGGCACCCCCCCCCCCCCACCCCCCCCCCCCCCCCCCCGCATCTAAATGTGTCCCACCCTTTCATCTGCAAACCCCACCCCTTCCTCTTTAGGCTCTACCTCTTCCTAGAGCTCACTGACAACGATGGTGCGCTATTCCTCCCACTGACACCAATGATGGGGCACGATTCCTCCCACTGACACTAATGATGGGGTACTATTCCTCCCACTGACACTAATGATGGGGCACTATTCCTTATGCTGACACTAATGATGGGGCACTATTCCTTATGCTGACACTAATGATGGGGCACTATTCCTTATGCTGACACTAATGATGGGGCACTATTCCTCACGCTGACACTAATGATGGGACACTATTCCTCCCACCGATACCAATGATGGGGCACGATTCCTCCCACTGACACCAATGATGGGGCAACGATTCTTCCCACTGACACTAATGATGGAGTACTATTCCTCACACTGACACTAATGATGGGGCACCATTCCTCACACACTGACACTAATGATGGGGTACTATTCCTCCCACTGATACCAATGATGGTGCCCCATCACAGGTAAGACACAGCAGCCCCTGTCCCTTTCCCACGGAAAGGGGGGGTGGCACTGCCACCGTGCCGCCCCCCTGAAGAGTGCCGCCCTGGGCAAATGCCTTGTTTGCCTCACGGCAAATACGCCCCTGCATTATTGTGATGTTAATAAAATAACCAACCATGAAAACAAGACTGAGCTGAAATTTTACATTGCACAAAAAATGTTGGTGCTTTCAGCAAACATATTTACATGCTTATGTGCTATCATTTTACAGAATAAAATAAAATATACCTTCAAGGAAAGAAATGCGTGGATCGCTATCAGTAATGAATTGTTTTTTAGCTGTTTGCACCACTCTTGGTAGGTCCATTATAGTGACTGTAGACCCTTGATATGTAGATAGAAACATTTTTGCAAAAGCTCCCGAACATCCTATTAAACAAAATTTTTGTTGTTAAATGAAAGTTACATATCCAAGATATATTCAGTTTGAAGTAGATTATTTAGCCAGCAAAATGAACAAAACACGTTTGTCCTGCTTTTGTGTAATTTTACATTGAATTTTCTTTAACAGGTTCACCGTCATCATATGTACAAATGGCAACTGCCCCAAACTATAACTGGCCTTTGCAGCAAGGAGCACACGGAAGGGAGAAGCATGACAAACAACAAAGAAACATTTCCAGGTCAACTTACCAACCAGCCTACAACCAACCAAATTGTCCTGTCTGGCCAGCAGTTCACATTAAAACAGAGGTTTAGTTTGCACACATTTGCAAATACATGCATAAGCTTCAGAGCCACATCATGGCACCCCATTATTGTCTGCAGTCCTAACTCTATAAATTTTCAGAGCCTCTATAGAAGAAGTGCATGCATAATAATGGATCGACTGAGGGCAGGTAATCTTGGAGGGAGCCCACCCCTTCTTAACCACTAGGCTACAGGGCACTTATACCCTCTTCCTGCCCAGGCCAATTTCCAGCTCTCAGCGCTGTCACACTTTGAATGACAATTGCGCAGTCATGCAACACTGTACCCATATGAAATTTTTATCATTTTTTGTGACAGATAGAGCTTTATTTTGGTGGTATTTAATCACCTCTGGGTTTTTTATTTTTTCTTAAACAAACCAAAAACCACTGAAAATTTTGAAAAAAAAAAAATGTTTTTTTCTTAGTTTTTGTTATAAAATTTTGTTAATAAGTGATTTTTCTCCTTCACTGATGTGCGCTAATGAGGCTATAGTGATGGCCACTGATAAGATGCACTGATGGACACTGATAGGTGGCACTGATGGGCACTGATGAGGAGGCACTGGTAGGTGGCACTGATGGGCATTGACAGGCATCACTGATGGGCACTGAAAGGCAGCACTGATATATGGCACTGATAGGCAGCACTGATAGGCGGCACTGACTGGCATTGATAGGCGGCACTGACTAGCACTGTTAGGTGGCACTGACTGGCACTGTTAGGCGGCACTAACTGGCACTGATAGGCTGCACTGATGCGCACTGATAGGCGGCACTGACTGGCACTGATAGGCGGCAGTGACTGGCACTGATAGGTGGCACTGATTGGCATTGATAGCTGGCACTGACTGGCACTGATGGGTGACACTGAAAGGCAGCTCAGATGGGCACTGACAGGTGGCACTATTCAGCACTGACAGATGGTACTGATGGACACTGGCAGGTGGCACTTCTGGGGCCACACTGATCAACAGGGCACACTGATCATCAGTGCTCTGATGATCAGTGTACCTGTCCCCTCCGCGGAATGCCGATTACCGGCTCTCCTCTCCTCTCGAGCTGTCAGTGTGACAGCTCGAGAGGAGAGAAATGCCGATAACCGGCATTTCCCTGTTTACATGTGATCAGCTGTGATTGGACACAGCTGATCACATGACCGAGCCAACATCTTCGGCTCTTTCCGTGGATCGGTGATCCGCTGTGTCCGAGGGACACAGCGCACCACCGATCGCCGCGCTGCGCACTCCCTGAGCCGCGCATGCACGGTGAGAATGGAAGGACATCATATGACATCCTATCAGAACGAGAGTACCACCTTGCGCCCGTTATTGGACTATATGGTGGGCGGGAGGTGGTTAAAGGCACAGGGTCACAATGGACACCCAGCATATAGCTCAGTGGCAATCATTTGTTTATCAATCATATATTTATAATTGGCAAATGGTTGTTGTTTATTTTTGCAGTGCCACTTATAAACAGAACATCAATAACAATCCTTGCGCAGCCAGGGTACCTATAAATGGCTGTGATTGGAACCAATGTGTAGAGCTGATCCAAGCAGCTCTGTACCTTCTAATCGCTGTGGTGGTCAATCACAAATGTAAACAGTATTACTGTTTACATGGGAGAGCCTGTATCTTTCTCTTATAACTGATGAAGTCGAAGGAGGAACTAATGAATTAATCCTTTATCAGTTACAGGTCACAGGCCGCAGCAGATTCTTGGTGAGGGGCTATGATCTTGTGATATTTTTTTTTACTCTTTCAGCCCTCTCTCCTTTACATCTGATCTGCATCCTGTCACAGGATGGTATGTGCATGTTAACCCTTCACCTCCCATATCCTACTGTCAGGATCTGGATCTGAACCTAGGAACTCTGTTGTGTGTGGTGGTAACTCTTTTTACTGTGCCACCTGAGATGCTACACAGCTCCTATCCTGATCTCTCGGACAACCTTCCTTTATATCTTGTTTTTTGTGAACCTTGAACTCCTTTTTCTTCCCATGAACTTCCTATTTAAGCCATGTCTCTGAACTTCCTTTTTGCTAGATTTTGTTCTTCTCCAGCCAATATCTTACTCCTTGTACTCCTGTTGCCATCCATACCTTTGCTACCACTTGACCCCAACCTGCAACCACTCATTGCTGACCATTAGCTATAGCTACTGGCATCTTAGCCTGACTATGACAGAATGATCTGGCCAAAAACAGACGCTGGTATAGCAGCTGCTGTGGTCTCTTTCAGACAGAAAGCTGCATAAATTAGTTGTTACTTAACAAAAAAATCTGAACTGCAAAGTGTGATGAAAGAGCAACAAGAGGAAATCCATGCTCTGCAGAAATGATTGCTGGACTTACATTCCCGAGATGAAAATAACGCATGTGTGCCCCTATCGCAGTCATTACAGAGGTTTCCTTAAAGTGTAACTAAAGGTTCAGATTTATTTTCTTTAAAATAACAAACATGTCATACTTACCTTCTCTGTGTAATGGTTTTGCACAGAACAGCCCCGATCCTCCTCTTCTTGGGTCCCCTGCCAGCATTCCTGGCTCCTCCCCTCTACCAAGTGCCCCATAGCAAGCCATTTGCTGTGGGGGGTACCCTTGCATGCTCTCTCCTGAGATCGCCATGTGTGGCCATAAGACACACAGTGCACAGTCCAGCCCCCCACCCCCCCGCTTCCTCCTCACTGGCTGTGATTGACAGCAGTGGGAGCCAGTGGTTCCTGCTACTGTATCTAACCACTTCAACCAATGTTGCATATATTTCCAGATGCAACCTGCTGTATTTACTTAGAAAAAGGAGGTATTGTTTATGATCAACCTCCTGACTGAAGAAACTTGGGCATTCCCTTATGCTGATCAAGACTGTGCAATTCTGAACAATTTTGATTCTTTTGTGGCCTCAATGAATCAAGTTTCTGATCCAAACCGCTGCGTCACTACTGAATCAAGGTTGCACAGTTTGTAGCAGGGCAGATGCTGTGTTACTTAGTACATGGCTGAATTCTGACGTTGAATTTTAGATACCACTTAGAACCCAGCAACACAAAAGAATCAGTTCCACCAAGAGTTAGCTGAACAGATAAAAGACAGTCCCAACGATCTTGAAACTTTTATTAGAATATGCATCTGAATACATCAGAGACTTACAGAAAGGAGACACTGGGAATGTTTGGGAAGTAATAGTGGTATGCGTATGCGAATTAGTCAATTTGTTTCCAGACAATTTCACTAAGAGAGAAGTATCCAGATTGGAGACAAAGTAGATTTATAATCTAAGGATTTATGCCCATCATGGTCTAAACATCGAGTGGCATATTAATTGTTTTATAAATAACTGCTGACTCACTCTTTGTTATGATGGTCCACTTCTGGTTTATTGTAACATTTCTGCTCTTCCTGGTTGTAACATGGTCCGTTTTATAATTTTTATAGGACAGTCAAGGTACTATGCTCCCCGTTTCTTATTACCATTGTAAACAGGAGGTTGTTGGTCTTGTTCTCTTTTTTCACAGTGTTGGTTTAGTTTTTCAATGTATAATACACACACCACCATGCAGGCTGAATGGCCTGGATACTGAAATCTGTCTGTTTATTACCGATATTAGGTGTGATTTTAATAAAGGTACAAGCGGTTCCCTTATTCTTGCTTTGTATCTGCATGCTTGTTGAATCCGAGTGAGAAGTCTTTGGAGGCTGGTGGAGGAGCTTGTGTAACTACTCTGGAATTGGGAAACAGGGCTCTTCAGGAAGTAGCTGGGTTTGCTTATTTGGAATATTGGGAGGAGTTTCTATGTCATCCATGTCTCTTCTGGAGTTCTTGGTACGACAGCTTTTTAAGACTACTCTTCGATGGGGGAGGGGAGGGGCAATAAACCTGGCCTATTGATATGGAGACTATTGATGGTCACCTTTATCTTCAGGATCCACGAGACTGTCCCTCTTAAACTCCAAATTGAGGCCAACTATCATGAGACTTTCAGCTTTCATTTGATTAGATCATCCAAATGTCCCATCATCATGGTCATTCTTTGGTTTTCTCCTCATAATCCCTCCATCGAGTGGGGGACACAGACTATAAATTGTACATCTGACCATTGACAGGAACCTTGCCAACAGGTTCTCAACTGGCCAAGGAATCACAAGCTGATGTGGTAACTACTCAGAAGTATAATAAACTGCCTTTACAGTACCACAAGTTCCAGGATGTCTGTGATCAAAAGAATGCAGATCTTCTCTCCTCATCACCCATACACTGTCCTATTGAGCTGCTCGCAGGGGCAGACATATATTTTGGTCACCTTTATTCTCGACATGAGATAAAGGCACTCAGAGGGTTCCTTGATAAAAACTTAAAGAAGGGTTTTATCAGACACTCGTCTCCTGGGGGTTAGAACTGTTCTTTGTTAAAAGAGACTTAAATGCACTCAGACTCAAAGACTCTGCTCTGCCAAAGTGTTTACCATATTAGACTTATGTGGCATTGAACCTTGTATGCATTCATCTAGGGGTTGAATGGAAAACTGCTTTTCGAACCAGATATGGACATTTCGAGTCTTTGGTCATGTCTTTTGACCTTTGCAATGCTCCCACAACTTTTCATCATTTCATCAGTGGTGTCCTGTGGAATCTGTTGGATCAGTTTGTTATTGCATACCTGGATAATATTCTTATAATCTAGAGGAGCATTTCAAGCACATTTCCTCTGTCTTTGAAAGACTAAGGAAGAATCAAATTTACATCAAACTGGAGAAATGTGAGCTTGAGCAAACCCAGATCCAGTTCTTGTGATTTTGGGGAATGGATCCCGACAAGAACAAAACAGTTGTGGATTGGCCTGCTGCTAGAAAGGTCAAAGAAATACAATGTTTAAAGAAATATAAGCGAGCGCATACACGTAGGTTATATATATATATATATATATATATATATATATATATATATATATAAAGTGCCCAATATTTATGTGCTATTCGTGCAAACCATACAATGTGCAATCAATAAAAGTCCATAATCTCCATATGATATCAGTCAATAAATAAATAAATGATAATTCAAGTAAAATTGTTAATATTGCGTACACAATCTGATATTAAAGTGCTATTATGCAATCTGTGCAAAAAGTGGATATAAAAAGTCCATAATAATCATATGTTTTCAAAAGATATAAATAAATGGAAATTCAACAGGAATATTTCTTCAAACGATAAAATCCTCTGCCAAAAGTGCAGTGGTGCATGTGTGTCTTTAAAAATCATCCACCACTTCTTATGGGTGCGGATCACCAGAACTTTGATGTATACAGGCATTGATTACAATCTGTCACATCTAGGTGCAGGGGTATTAGGACAGTTTAAGGGTTAATCCAGCATCCTCACAGTACCGGTGGTGCGTGCCTCCTTAAATCTGTTTAAGATTGCTCAACCACAGGAGTCAAAGGATTCTCATATAGTGTAGTATTTATTATTTCAAAGGTAAGTATACATATAAAAGAGTATTCCATGTGTAAAAGCAAATAGGTACCAAACATGGCTGCTGCTCCTTGCCCAGGAGACGACGGCGTGACATCAGCAATGTGGCTCCACCCAACGTGTTTTCAGGGGTACGTCCATTGATATCATATGGAGCTTATGAACCTTTATTGATTGCACATTGCACGGTTTGCACGAATAGCACTTTATATATATATTGTGCACTATATATATATATATATATATATATATATATATATACACACATACAGGTGAAACTCGAAAATTAGAATATCGTGCAAAAGTTAATTTATTTCAGTAATGCAACTTAAAACGTGAATCTAATATATGAGATAGACTTATTACATGCAAAGCAAGATAGTTCAAGCTGTGAGTTGTCATAATTGTGATGATTATGGCTTACAGCTCATGAAAACCCCAAATCCACAATCTCAGAAAATTAGAATATTGTGAAAAGGTGCAATATGCTCGGCTCAAAGTGTCCCACTCTAATCAGCTAATTAAGCCACAGCACCTGAGCCTTTAAATGGTCTCTCAGTCTGGTTCAGTAAGAATCACAATCATGGGAAAGACTGCTGACCTGACAGTTGTGCAGAAAACCATTATTGACAGCCCCCATAAGGAGGGAAAGCCTCAAAAGGTAATTGCAAAAGAAGTTGGATGTTCCCAAAGTGCTGTATCAAAGCACAGTAATAGAAAGTTATGTGGAAGGGAAAAGTGTGGAAGAAAAAGCCATGAAGCTGTCCCGCTGTGCCTGATTGCCTGTGCACTTCTAAACCCAGCACACAGGGACCACGTGTCACTCAACAGAGAGGGAGGGGGGAAGCTGATTTGGAGTAGAAATGATACAAGATGGAGGGCCTTTGGCAAAATGAAGGTTCACATCCATCTCTGTACGTACAATTGCTACAGTTGGGTTTGCTAACTTCTACAGAAGATGCATAAGGAACTTCTCTAAGGCAATAGCACCAATTATGCAGCTGACAAGGAAAGGGACCTCTTTTTTGTGTTCACCTAAGGCACAGGCTGTCTTTAATAAACTAAAGACTCTTTTCACTTCTGCACTATTTGTATATCTTGATCCTGAACAGCTTTTTATCGTGGAAGTGGCTGCTTCAGATTCTGCTGTGGGAGCTATCCCTTTTCCATGTTCATTTCTCCTGTCTAATGTCTTCAACTGAAAGGAATTATGGCATGGAGAACAAAAAGTTGCTGGCAATTAAAGAAAGTTTTCCAAATCGAGGCATCTGCTGGAAGGGGATAATCATCCTTTAACTGTTCTCACTGATCATAAAAAACATAGAATGAATTTGTTCTGCCGAGAGATGTCAAGAGGGACAAGGAATAGTAAAATTGGTGCCTTACCGATGTTGTTTGAGCATCTCCAGCAAAGCATCTCTGAATGTATGATACTCTAGTGTTTGACACTACATCAATTTCTATAGACTTTGTAGTAAATCTACCTCCCTCAAAAGAGATGAGCACTATCTTGGTAGTTGTCAACCGTTTTACTAAGAAGACTAATTTCATACTAGTTAAGGGGTTAACTATTGCTTAACAAACTGCAGAACTGATGGTTTAAGAAGTCTTTGAACTACATGGAATAACTGATGATGTATTGTCTGATGGAAGAGTACAGTTTACTTTGAAATTTTGTAAAAGATATTGCTCAGCATTAGGTGTTAAAATTTGCTCTCTGCTATTCATCCTCTAATGGTCAAGACTGAGTGAAACAATTAAACTCTGGAGCAGTATCTTCAATGTTTTTGCCAGTTATCTTCAGAATGATTGGGTGGACTATCCTCCCACAGTAGAATTTGCTTATAACAATTTTAAAGATAGCTTCACTTCTCAAAGTCCTTTTTACTTAAAGCAGTAGTAAACTGCACCTAAAAAAAAAATCCCCTGCAAGGTAATGTCATAATGTGCTAGTATGCATCATATTCCTATCTCCCAATGTCAAGTCCAATCCCTGCTGTTACCAATGGATTTCTTTACAAGAGAAAATAATGGAGACTTTGAAGGAGGCACAAGAATGTTACAAGGGGGCTGCTGACAGACATCACAGATAACTTCCTACCAGGGGCGGACTGACCATTCGGTTACTAAGGCACTGCCTGAGGGCCTGAGGTCAGTAGGGGCTCCATGAAAGGCTCCGCACATTTCACATAATGGCAGTATCTTTACATCTGTCTGAATAATGTGTCCACCTGAAAGCAGGACACATTATTCAGACAGGAATGTGGCTCAGAACGGGGAGTCTGAGATGGGAGTAGATAAGGAGTTGGGACTGTCAGTGATGGTGAGGAGAACAGGGCAGGTGGAGAAGCCCCCGATCCAGGAAGTAGCTCATATAGACACTGACTCCTTTACCACTGAGTCTCACCCTCTCTCTCACCCTCTCTTTCTCACCTCTCACCCTCCCTCTTTCTCTCTCTGTTCCTCTCTTTAACCTTCCCTCTCGCTCCCTCTCTCTCTCCCTCTCTCACCCACTCCCTCCCTCGCTCACCCTCTCTTCCTCCCTTCCTGAAAACCACATCTATTTTTGTGCACACCGCACCTCTTTCTGTGCTGTCAGGGTGTAAATTATGTTCTTGCACACAGGCCCACTGCTTTCATAAATTGCCCCTGGTTGCATCATAATGATGACTGCTATGTCAAAGCCATCTTTAAACCTGGAAGTGCCCAGCAGCTTCTACAGAAAGAAGCCAGGAACTTCCTTGCAGGCTATGCTGTGGTAGATATTTAAATATCCCCTATGCAGCTGAGTTGCAATATGTAGGTGGGACATTGTGTTGATGTGGCTTGAGTGTTAGCGGAGACATAGGGGGTCCCATTATTTCCTATTGCTCAGGGGCCCCATGAGTTGTCAGTCCACCCCTGCTTCCTACCTTTCATGTGAGTGACAAAGTTTTGTTATCTACCAAACATTTGAAGGTACATGTTTCATCTGCTAAGCTGGGCCAAAGGTTTGTGGGACATTTCCAGGTTTCAGCTCAAATTAATCCAGTCACTCTTCACTTAAAACTTCCTGACAGTATGAAGATTCACCCTGTTTCAAACCTTTTCACAAAAACCTTTTTTTAGGAAAGCACTCCCACCCTCTCCACCTGTTGAGAAGCAATGTGAGGACTGTGACCTGGCACTAGCATGCAAAATCCATCTCCACCATCAGTATCTCTGGTGAAGACTGGTTAGTGCTTAGACTCCTCAGGTCAGCCTGCATCACCTGCCAGGGGACCTGCTTGTGTAATTCTCTGGCTGGTTGCCGTGTGAACTTTTCTACTGCTATAGCTAATGACCTCTGAGCCTGATGGCTGATGTGACACCTGCACATCTTCATCCTCCCGTTGTATGTGACCTGTACATTAACTCTTTCTCCTTCTTCTCCCTCTGTGTATGACACCACTACCAAGCTCCATGTTTTTTTAACCCTCTAAATGGCAGCATGTTTCTTCATGTCCAAATTGGCAAAAATTAGATCACCTTGTGGTGTCTACTTTCATAAATTAGTCATTTTGGGATTTTTTTGGACCATTCTGGCATTTTATGTGATATGTTTTATAACTAAAGCTAAGGAAAACTTTTCATTTTTCTTACTTTTCCTTCTCAGTAAAAAAAAAAAAAAAAAAAATGGGAGTTGTTAAATACCACCCAAAAAAAGCTCTAGTCTCAAAAAATGATATGAAATTAATTTGGGTTACATTGTTGCATAACTGAGTAATTGTCAAACTATCATAGCACTGGAAACTGAAAGATGGCCTTGTAATAGTAGTAGTAGTATTACAGGCTGCTACTTAAGTAGTTAAGTTAAATGTCAGTTTAATGAAGAAAAAAAAATAAGCAAATTCCAGGGTAGTAAGGCTGACTGCTGTCATGTGTCTTGTAGTCTGCATTTGATAGACTTAGCTCAAACTACTTTAACCATGGCTCTTTTTTTGCTTATTTGAGTTGCAGAATCACCACATTAACAATTATAAATCAAAATATTAATGTTACCTCCAACATCACAGACAGTATGGAACTCAGAAAGGTCAAACGCATGTATCACATCCATCCCATATAATTTCCATATGGAGTCCATATGATGCATGAAAGTCAACATCTCCTCTTCTGACCTAATTGATAATAAATTAAAGCATACATTTATTCCAGCAGAAAAGTCACAGAAAGCTGCTTCCATTAGCATGCCAAGTATAATGGCCCACAAATAGGGCTAAGCTAATTGTAGCCAGGTCACTGAAAGATAGTTTCTACTTGGCTGTTTTAGTTGCTATGGATTACTGCATTTTGCAAATATTTTATCAATATCCTTTCTATTTCTTTACTGAAAAACAAAACTTGAAGACATTTCAATAGGAGATACATTTTTTTTTAATTTTAACCTTTTGCATTTTTTGCACATTATACAGGGTAATTTAGATTCTAATATGATGAAAAATGCATATACAGACATGCCTTTAGTATTGATTAAAACTGTGTATTAAAATAACAAGGGAATCAAAAACATAGACAGCAACATTTATATGCATTTTCCTGTAAAAGTGTTTGGCCCCAACCCCTTCCGATTCTTCGACCTGCTTTTCAGAGACATAATGGGATGGGTGGTATCATTAATCAACAGGCAAGCTCAGTAACCAGTAGAAGGCAGGACTGTGCATATAACTTCAGATATTTATATATCTAGGTTATATTTAAAATGCAGTTTCACTGAAGGTAACAACTGATTATACAGTTGTTGTCATCATATGACCAGTTTAAAATGAACATACTCTTTAACAAGGAGTAAATGAGCTTTCAAACAAGTTCTCACTGACCTCTGTAGCTGCAAGTTCACAACAGAAGCACTGAAGTTCCTCTCTTAATGGCTTGCCTCACTCAGTTCTCCCCTCTTAGAATTAACTTGAATGAAGGCCTTTCAGCCTTCTAACCTCTAATTTAAAATGCAAAGCAGGTGCTCTGGGAGGGAGGAGCAAAAAGGGTAAGCTGAACGACTTGATTTGGAAGACTCCAGTGCTTCCCTTGGGGATGAATTTCTCCAGAGTGCCTGCAAATGCCAAGGTCACTTCTTATTAAGAATATAATAGTTGAATGCCCATAGCCTGGCTAAACGTTTGTTGTAAAGCTAACCTGTGGTTTACTCATGCATTTATAGCATGAACATTATTTGGCCCTTTGACGGACTGGTAAGTGGGATCTTTGTTACTCTCAGCATCCCCCCTTTTTGAAGTCTGGATCCTGATGCAAACTAAATGAAACTAAATGGATCTTTTGTAATATAATTTTAATAATACTAATAATACTTTAAAGGATAACTTCACCTTTGGAACATGTTACACATTCCACTAGTTTTTAGGGTGGAACATGTAACATGCTCCCATAGCCACAGCTGTGCCTGCCGCCCCTCCCCCCTCCCTCTGACAGATAGTACGGCCGCATCACTCATTCACAGAGTTCTGTGAATGAGTGCCTACAAGTCCCAATAGCCTTAGTGGCTGTCGGCTTGTAGTTTTCAATTAACTACCATGGCACTGTCAGAATTCCTGTCAGAATATCTGCTTGACCGTACATCCCGTACAGCAAGAAGATATTCTGACAGGTCTGCAGGAGACCTGCATGGCTTCAGTGATCTACTGATCGCTGGTGCAATGGTTTACAGGCTCCTTTGGACAAAAATAACAAATGCACATTTTTGTACCTGCAATAACATGTGCATTTATTATGTTTGTCCAAATAGTGAACTTATGCTTTAAATTTCACTTCCATGTTTTATCTATAGTAAAAACTAAATTGGTCTTTATTCTTTATTTCAAATATAAAAGATCTACTCTTTAATCAATCAATACAATATTGTTCCAATACATATACATGCTTTATGTGTTTACATCAATCTCTACATCTTGTCCTCTACTACACTGTTCCTACCCATAAACCTGGGTTAGTCTATCACTAAACAAATATGACCATATACAAAGAGTCAACCCTGGTCAACTAGTTGATGGAGAAACTCTGTATACCCATCAGATATGTAACCTCTTTCAAATCCATTTCAGGACCAACAACCCTGTGGATCACTGCAGTTCCTAGTGAAGATTATCATTAAGATTTAGGCAGGTCAAGATAAGAATGGATTTACAGGTATATATTTGTTACTAGAAGGAGTAAGGAGTTAGTTTAATCCTGGGGTTAGGCTTAGGCATAGGTTTTAATGAGCTTAGTTTTAGGTTAGGTTTTAGAGTCAAAGTGTTAATTTTCAGGATTCGGTTAAAGTTGGAGTCAAATTCATACTATAGCTGAACTCTAGCAGATAAAAAAAAATTATGAAACTATTAAATAATTAATACATCATAAAAAATATTTTTTTTAAATGCAAGCAGTGTAAGTACCTGAACCTGACCTCTAATTAGCCTAATTTCAGTACTTGTATAATAGAACTGAGGTGTAGGAGGAAAAGACAGAACAAGAAGCCAGACAGTTCATTTACTGATAGGAAGAGAAAGCAGATAGCAATTTGTGCTATTTCCCATTTCATAGTTCAGTAACAGGTTGAAGAAGGTCCAGGGCTCAGAGGCCATGGGTTGAATGACGCTGGTGATGATGTGTAAAATTCTGTGAGGAAAATCTCTTGATTTTAGGTGAATATTGCAATACAATTTTCAGGTTTAGATTAAGAGTTAAATGTTAGAGGGGAATATGATTGTTAAGGGATAATTGGTTAAATTTTAGGGCTCAGGTGAGACAAGGATAAGGGTCAGCCTAAGGGTCATCTGGAGCTTCATGATTAGTGACTATAGGAGGACAATTATTTACACTTGACTTTAGAGCCCACTAGGAGCTGAATTCTGTGATAAACAATTTACTGAATTTTTCTACCCTCAAGAAAGGATATCTTATTAACTCTAAACTGTGCAACCCAAAAGTTGAGTGTAAAGATTTCACCATCAGAATTGCCAAAAGATATCAAAACAACTAACCTCTCCTACATCTACAAAAACCATATTAGATTTCTGTGGAATGCTTTTTATAAGCTGATGTAAAAAATCTTGGAGTGGTTGGTAAGATTCGTTCACAAGAAACAATCAAACAGATGTGATATGTGATTTTCTTTCCTGCAACCACGGGTTGCAAGAAAAAATATTGCTCAATTCCCCCATCAACACAGTGTTGATGGGGGAATCCCTCCCACCAAGCTATTATGTTCTCCTGGCAGGGGGAGCTGTCCCGCTGGGAGAGCCCAGTGATTATTGCTAGCAGCTATAGCATGTAAAAATCTGACTAATACTGGTTGTACCCAAGTCGTGCAACAATTGACTTGGGTACAATCAGCCTGTCCATAGATGGTTTGAATCTCAGCCAGTGAATTGGCCGGAATTCGAACCATCTATGGCTGGCTTAATACTTCCAATGGCAGCTACTGTACTGTACTGACCCCCTAGGTCAGTGGTAGTCAACTTTCTTGATATAGGGGGCCTCATGTGCAGCATCTGAAATCACCTAAGGGCCACACATAATATTCAGGGAGTGTGGAGATTCAAAGAATACAGACATGCATTAGGAGTTGAGCAAACTGGAGACAAATTACACAGCACTGCTGGAGATCACTGCTTTGACAGTCCCCTTGCAAATCAGTGCTTTATCATTTGTGTTCGTTACAGTTCCCTTAAAAAAAAATGTTTTCAAGATGATACATTATAAAAGATCAAAGGAATAAAAATATAAAAAAAAAAAGAGTAAAGAGATGCAGAGCACAGACAAAAAAGTAAGCCAGTCTAAAGAATATTTTTTTCTTCACTGACTTAAAGTAGAATTAAAGGCAAACCTTTTTCCACATTTTGGATAGAGTAAGGGAAGGTTGTAACCCCTGTAAGGTTTATTTTTGTTATGTGTCCCACTGGGGAGATTTCCCTTCACTTCCTGTTCCATAACCAAAACAGGTAGTGAGAAAAAATCCCTCTAATATGAGGAACTCCCTGGTTGTAACCAGGGTCACCAGAACTGGTGTCCCTATTGGAAGATATTGCCACTATTCCTTTTCTGGGGAACACCGAACATTTATATGTTCTTATACATTCAATTTTGTTGATAATGGTGGACAGAACAGAGAGGGGCAAAGATAGCATTAAAAATGACAGATATACTGTAATCCTTCTCAGACTCGATCAAAAACTAAAAAAGAAATAAAATGTTTTGCCTTCAGTTATACTTTAAGCACCAATAGAAAAAACAATGCTATTTAAAGGAGTCCCAAATGGCCACTCAATAAATACCAATAGGACAAAGATTGGGAAACAGATGCCCTAGGCTATATAACAGATCTGGGGCTGCAACATCACAGTAAAGCTGTACAGGTTCAATTTCACTGCCATTGGACGCTATGGGGTAGATTTACTAAAACTGGTTCACTCAGAATCTAGTGCAGCTTTGCATGGTAGCCAATCAGCTTCTAACCTCAGCTTGTTCAGTTAAGCTTTGGCAATAAAACCTGGAAGCTGATTGGTTTCTATGCAGAAATGCATCTAATTTTGTACTCTCCAGCTTTAGTAAATAAACTCCTTTGTGACCTAAAATTTATTGACTGTTGATTGTGAATTGACACGTTACCTCTATTGGGACAAATTGCCTCAACAAGTTACAGTGAGTCCAAGTCTGCACTTTGAGATTCAAAATGCTTCACTTACTTGTGCTAATAAAACATTCCCCAAATAAGTATAATAAAGACATTTGGCGCTTTAAAATGCAAATGGTAAATTTACATAAGAAAACATCACAAAACCACATTCATAGAACCTTGAAAAGTTGAGCAACTGAATGCAGTCTGAGTTTGACACAATAGCTTTATTTGAAGGACAATATTCTGCATGGAAGTAGGAGATAGTTGCATGATTCAAAATCTGATAGGCACATTACCTGTAAATAGCTTCGAACAAGTCCTTTGAAGAGACTCCAAAAGCTCTTTCATACTGGCTTTTTCCTTCCCTGAGATAGAAGAATCAACATTTTTTGATTATATATATGCTAACCCAACCATTATATTAACTCTCTTACTTCTGTTCATTGGTTTTGGTACACTAAAAATTATGGAATGTGTTTAACATGTTAGATTCTAGATAAATGAACAGCTTGTGCTTTTATTTCGGGCAAACAAAATGATAACAGCATGTCCAAGTTAATCCCAGTATATTTAAAGAAACTTATAATACTTAAATGCAGAACTTTGTGCTTTACTTTAAAACTTCAAAATGATGTTTTCATGTTTAAATATCTAGACTGTAATAGGAGTCAGGCTCTGGATTGTTAAGACTGCATTGTGGGACTACTTCACCAGCACAGTACATATGAACTGAGAGATTGTTTCTATGATAATATAGTTAATGTTACATTTCAAATATGTGTATGGTATGAGGGTGCTCTAACAAAATCTTACATGTGGCAGTTTGGATTCAATTTACATATAGGGACAGATGGCCTGCATGGATGTCTTATTTTTACACTGAAGCTGCATATTAAAAATCTTGGTTTTCATTGTCCAAGTCTGAATAAAGCTTTAGGGATGTATTTATTTTAAAAAAATCACAGGGATATTTGCTTGTGAAACATATGCCTTTATTCTGTGCAAATGGGGCAAAAAAACAAATGTTCCTGAGCTATTTTCTGTCCAAGTCAAATGTTCTTCATAGAATGAATCAGGAAAATAAAGCATTATGGCCACTAGGTAGAGCTGACAATCATAGTAAATAAGTAATTCCTGATTCAATTTATTCTGTATGAATAAAGAACAATTGGCCTGGAGAGAAAATAGCTCACTAACATTAGATTTTACCCCCATTCAGATAGAACAGTGGTCTCCAAACGGCAGCCTGGGGAACAGATGTGGCCCTTTGCTTGCTTTTATCTGGCCCCTGGGGAATTAGTTCCCCACTCGTCAGCAACAGAGAGGCATAGTTTCTGCCACAGACATCGACAATGGGACACTAGTCCTCTCATTGACAGCAACAATGTGACACCATGCCTCCTACAGAAACCAGTGATGGGGCACTATTACTCCCACCAACATAAACAATGAGGCACTATTCCTCCCACTGACACAAATGATGGGGCACTATACCTCCCAATGACACCAATGATGGGGCACTATTCCTTCAACTGATACCAATGATGGGGCACTATTCCCCTCATTGATACTAATGATGGGGCACTGTTCCTCCAACTGATACCAATGATGGGGCACTATTCCCTCCATTGATAACAATGATGGGGCACTATTCCTCCCATTGATACCAATGATGGGGCATTATTTCTCCAACTGATACCAATAATGGGGCACTATTCCTCCCATTGATATCAACAATGGGGCACTATTCCTCCCATTGATACCAATGATGGGGCAGGGGGCACCATTCCTCCCACTGATACCAATGATGGGGTAATATTCCTTCCATTAATGCCAGTAATCGGGCACTATTCCTCCCACTGACACTAATGATGGGGTATCATTACTCCCTCTAATGTCAAAGATAGAACATTGTTTACTCCCACTGCTGTCAGGACATTTTCTACTCCCACAGGCCACAATCCTGCCCACCTAAAGTTTGAAGGACAGAAAACTGGCCCTTTGTTTATAAAGTTTGGAGACCTCTGATATACAGGGTGTCCCTAAATTCTGGACACATAGGGAATATGACTATATGTGTATATACAGTGGGGCAAAAAGGAATTTAGTCAGCCACCAATTGTGCAAGTTCTCCCACTTAAAAAGATGAGAGAGGCCTGTAATTGGCATCATAGGTAGACCTCAACTATGAGAGACAAAATGAGAAAACAAATCCAGACAATCACATTGGCTGATTTGGAAAGAATTTATTTGCAAATTATGGTGGAAAATAAGTATTTGGTCACCTACAAACAAGAAGATTTCTGTCTCTCACAGACCTGTACCATTGTACTACTTTGGAGACGTGATCAGTATTTTTTACTGTAGTAAACATTGTAGTAACATTGTAACATTGTACTACTTTGGAGACGTGATCAGTATTTTTTTTTTTACACAATTTGCTGATAGCAAAGAATTACTTTGATATAAGCAAGCATTTACTTGAATGACATCGATTCATTCAGGGTTTTTTTTTGTGCTTAGCTGTGATTTGGCCACGGCTAATCACATGACACAGCTGAGCTATGATTTGGCCTAGCTTGTGCATGTGATCGCAGTGACCATTCACAGCTAGACACACTAGTATACAATGGATGGCATGAAAGGAAGCCATCCATTGTATACAAAAACTGTCATGTGACCTGCTGTGATTGGTCACAGCAGGTCACATGGTACTGAAAACAGGGCCGGTACACAGATCTGTCATTGGCCGTGTCCGAGGTACACGGCCAGTGACAGATCGCGCCGCAGGGCGGCCCTGTGGGAAGGCAAACTGGGCATGCCTGAAAGGATGCCATATGGCATCCACCCGGAGGGACAAGGTGTTTTGCTGGTCGCCTTTGTGCTATTGGCCAGGCGGGAACCGGTTAATCTGTTCATATTGCAAAAAAAATTTGTAAACCGAGCCATTATTTTCAATGGATTTCCATTCGTAAACTGAATATTACGTTAACCAAGGCGTTCGTAATCCGAGGTACGCCTGTATCACCGAGGTGAACTGAGGAGCATTCCATTTCTACATAACAGTGGATGCAAAATAACTACGGATCTTGCATGGGCACCTATATAATAGTTCATTTGTTGGATGATTTAAGTTGTTTATTTATTGATAGTGGAGCGTGGCACCACATTTAAAAGTGTTCAGAAGCTGACGGGAGAGAGATCTGTATGGTTTACATACAGGTCTCTTCCCCGTTGGAAATCCTCGGAGATCGCCACATGTTGGTGGGGAATCACTGGCTGGAACCTGGTGACTGACAGCTGAGGCCACGAATGGCGGCGCGGACAGTGAGTGTGCACCCCCTACCCGGAACTGCAAAATCACGTATATATACATTATTTTGCGCACCCTTGCCGCCCTGTGGCAGTATGTCTGCTATAGGGCGGTGCGGAACCGGATAACTCTATGATTTGTAAGGACAGCATCAAGTCTTCAATGAATGGAATGAACAAGTTGGCTCAACTTCTCTCTTCAGAATTCCCCGTAGGTGTTCAACTGGGTTCAGATCAGGAGACATACTTGGCCACTAAATCACTGTTTTGGATCATTGTCATGTTGGAAAAGTGCACGACGATCAAGAGCACAGAGTAATGGTAGCATCTTCTCTATCAATATTGAGCAGTACATCTGTGAATTCATGATACTATCAATGAAATGCAGCCCCCCGACACCAGCACCACTCATGCAGTCCCACAGAAGGACACTGCCACCACCGTGTTTCACTGTAGGCACCATGCATTTTTCTCTGTAATCCTCACCATTGTGACGCCATACAATTTTGAAGCCATCTGTTCCAAAAACATTTATCTTGGTCTCATCACTCCAGGGTACAGAGTCCCAGTAGTCTTCTTTTTCAGCAGGGATCCTGGCAAATTCTAGGCTGGCTTGTTTGTGCATGGGCTTTAGAAGAGGCTTCTTTCGTGGACAACACCCATGTATGCCATTCCTTTACAATGTACTTTGTATTGTGTCATAAGAAACAATCACCCCAGTTTGACTTTCTACTTCTTTAGCTAACTGCAGTGAACTTGCATGGTGATTTTCCTCAACCCTTCTCATCAGAAGACACTCCTATTGGGATGTTAACTTCCATGGACGGCCTGGACGTCTCTGTGAGATGGTTGCAGTTCCATCTTTATTTAAAATTTTTTTTATCACTTTTGCTACAGTATTCAGATAAGTAAAGCTTTGCTGATCTTCTTGTAGCCATCACATTTCTTGTGTAAAGAAATTATTTTCTTTCTCTGGGCCTTGTGACATTTCTCTTCCATATGGTGCTATTGCTGATAGCATGAAATAGGAAGAGGTTTTCTTTGTTAAGTAACACCCTTTTATAATAATCTGTCTACTGAACACCTGTTTAATGAATAATTAGACTCACCTGTACTAGCAATGGCCCACATTTGTGGGAGTATTTTTGTAGTATAGTGTCCCATAGAAAATGTTGATTCTGAAAGTAAAAGTAAAGGTTTCTGACAAATCAATTGGGGTGTACCCATTTATGCTGAGCACTGTGTAATGAGCAATTTTAGCTGCCACATGGTACATAATTAATACATACATGGTAAAACAAACTATAACTTAAAAGAACTATGCATTCACTTTTAAGACTGTACCTTATAGCTTGGGGTAAGAATTGCCAGCATTTATATGTGGTGCTAGAGTAGTACATCATCATGTGATACAGGGACTTTGGGCTTGATTTGATCAGGTATACTGCAGAAACATCTGTGTTTGAATAATATGCTAAAAAAAACAGAAAAAAATAGTGTTATTGTTTTAGGATCCACTTATCAGACATGTCAAACATAAAGCTAAATATGTGCAAATACCATAGTTTTAGTTGCAGCCACATTAAAGTCAAACTCCAAGTCAAACATATTTTTAGAAAAAGACAGAAAGGGTACAAATGGCCATAAATAGATCAAATCTTTCACAATTTAGCAGGGCCAGTTAAATTTCGATCCGTCTATAGGCAGGCTGGTTGTACTAAAGTCGATCCATTGAGCCTGTTGGCTTTTTTGCATGCAATTACTGTCGGCAGCTATAGCTGCTAGCAGTGATCATTGCGCTCTGCCAGCAGGGAATGCTCCCTGCCGGTTGAACACAATAGCGCTGCAAGAGGGATTGCATCATCGACACTGACTGTGTTGATGGGGAATCAAGTTCTGGTGGAAGGAAAGACATTTGTATAATCTATGGCTTGCCTTAGAACATCTGGGGGTTTTTTTCTGTGTTTTTTTTTTTGATCTCCAGTACTCTTTTGTGACAGAAAATCAGCAAGTATCAGTGAAAATCAGCAAGTATCACATGGGAGGAAAGAGAGTAAGTCATATGTTCCCCCATATCCAGAATTACTAGAGTTCTAGAGAAAGTACTTTGCTCCTGGATTCTGAACAGAGTCACGGGGAGTGGGTGGAGGAAAGGTCAATGTGCTGCTTGTAGGGCTGCAAATAAAGCAGCCCTGTTGCTTTTCCCTGCATGGGCAAAACACAAGTTTATTGCAATTATTATTCATACACTCAAGTCTTACATTTATCACTTTTAAATATTGGTGTTCTATATGCCTGTAATTCATTCTGTCATGTTTTGTGAACCTGCCTCGAACCAGACACAGGTATGTTTGGCTCATCCTTAAAATGAAGTAGTTGCACTGGGTTTATTGACACTTTAAGTTTACCTGTTATATTTTAAGTATGTCTCAGAGTGATTACAGTGGAACTTTACCCATAACAACTTGATAAAAAATAATGTTCTTTAGCAAGAAACATACATTGCTACCAAAATTAGTGTGTGCTGTAAATTGACTCCAGCATTGTACCTGTCTCTTCTTGCCGGAGGCTGCCATTTTGCTGAAGCCCAGAGCCCTGAGCAACAGTAAATCTTTAGGTTGTCAGTAGAACCGCCTCTAGTGGTTCTCATTTTCAGCACAATACCAAAAAATTAAGAGCAACTGAGCATATGCAGAGCAGGGGGAGGCAGTGTCTTACTGAATTTTAATTAGAATAGGCCAGTGGTGGCAAACCTATGGCATGTGTGCCACAGCGGGCACGCAGAGCCCTCTCTGTCGGCACGCGAGTCAAGTCACCCCACCATCACCCCAGCAGCTGAGCATCAGATAACAGCACACATAGATGCTATGCGCATGCTCGGAAAGGAGAAGTGGCGCTAGGCGATGACATCACGAGCCACAACTCATTTGCCGTGACTCGTTTTAGCTTTCGCATGGCCGGTCAGTGCGCTGCCAAGGATATATATATTGGACCGGCTGTGAGTTTTAATACATTCGTTTTTAGTAACACAAGATTTTAGCTTGTGCTGGTGGTCAGTGGAATATTACCCCCATGTGCTGGTGGCCAGTGGAACTTTGCCCCCTTAAGCTGGTGGTCAGTGGAACTTTTCCCCCTTGTGCAGGTGGTCAGTGGAACTATGTTCCTTGTGCTGACGGTCAGTGGAACTTTGCCCCCTTGTGCTGGTGATCATTAAACTTTGCCCCCTTGTGCTAGTGGTTAATGGAACTATGCCCCCTTGTGCTGGTGGTCAGTGGAACTTGTCCCTATTTTTCTGGTGGTCAGTGGAACTTTGCCCCTTTGTGCTGGTGGTCAGTGGAACTTTTCCCCCTTTTGCTGGTGGACAGTGAAGCTTTGCCCCCTTGTGCTGGTGGTCAGTGGAACTTTGTCCCCTTCTGTTAGTGATCAGTGGAACTTTGCCCTTTTGTGCTGGTGGTCAGTGGAAGCTCTGTTATTATGTTTTTCTTTTAAGACAAAAGATGTTAATGTATGGGTTGTTTTTTTCTAAACTAAAGCCTCAGTATTCAGGTTTAATTGCAGTGTTGGCACTTTGCGATAAATAAGTGGGTTGTGGGTTGCAGTTTGGGCACTCGGTCTCTAAAAGGTTCGCCATCACTGGCCTATACCAATATTTCCCAAAGTGAGCAATACCACCCCCTGGGGGCACTGGAAGGATCCAGGGGGGCGGTAGTAGCCTCAGATGCAATTTGAAAAACAAGAGGGTGGTGGAAGCATAATGAAAGGAGAGAAGAAAATTGTATCTGTTCAGAAATATAGTTAAAGTTGCATAATGCAAGTTATTACCAATCAGTGTTAAAGTCCACTGACAAGTCTTAAAGTTGAATTCTTGCCAGAAAAAAGTAATGATCCCTTGTAGTGGGGCTATGCTTGCACTGCAAGGCTTAAGCGCTCATTTTGACCAGGGGAGAGGAGAAACCCTTATATTTACCTTATCTTTCATTCCTCTGGCAAATGGCTCTCCTCCATGATTCAGCAGCGGAATGTTCCTGATGACCTCACATCCAGAGCAGAGCTATGGATGCTACCTGACATCAGGCTCAAGACCACTAGAGGACAGGGTGCAGGAGCTGCAGGAACCACTCTTGTGAGGAGAGAATGGAAGATTGGATAAGTATATCTCCATATATTCTCCTTTTTCTAGATTTCCAGGGGGGCATGGATTCACTTTCTTCTGAAAAATCTAAACTAAAGTACAGTAAAAAGGTAGGTACACCCAGAATGCAGTTCAAGTCAATTCTTACAATATTTATAAAAATCCTAAAAAAATGAAAAAAAAAAAGATTTAACAACTAATTATAATAGACCAACATATTATACCTCTTCAAAACAAAAAGTTAAATCCATACATCTTACCTTCCAAGTTTTTCATTTCTACTTTTAGGAGTTTCAGTCCAGCACAGGCACTGAGTAAGCGTTCTGTGCCATCTACGCTGGCACACAAATGAGAAGCAATGGCCGCTGCTGACAAGGGCTCCCCAACATCATGTAGTATGTCAAAAATTCCCAACTCACATGCTGTAAACATGGTCTACAAGGAAAAGACAGTTTATATTGTGTTTGTACTGATCATTTGCAAAAGTAAGGCAAATATATAGCAAATAATAGCTCTTACCAAGAATTATTCTGTGTGTCAATTTTAAAGAAACTTCTACTAATAGAGATAATGACTGCCTTGGATGATCTTGTGAAAATCCTAATTGCCTTTGAAAATCTTTGACCTTTGGAGTCCTTGAAAAACTTGCTGGTGAAGACAGAAGAAAGCTACAATTCCTGATCTGCTTTTTTTTTTCCAGCTCAATGGGGTTTGCAAGGGAATGTGAATTATAATGTAAACCTAGGCAACTGTCAGAGAGCTTCCTAGGCTACACACTTAGCCAGAGCACTCAAGGTACATCTTAATGCACTCAGGGTATTCTCACAGTGGGGAGGTATAAAGTTGGCCAGACACCAATCAGTTTTTTTGTGTTTTTTTTGATCAGCCAATGAGCTGATCGAAAAATACTGAGCGGATTCTCACATCCACACAATGGAGGCAGACAGGGGAATCCTCTCCACTGCGTCACCATATTCTGTCAATGGGGACATCTGCTGCAGCGCTGGTCAAAGTAACATTTTCCAATAATTTTCCCTGCTGACCCTCATTCACTCCTCCCTTCCCCTGCTCTCCTTAGCATTTTTTTACATTAAAAAAATACTGTTCATACCATCTTTTGCATTTTCTTTTATTGTGCTTGAAAGTTTTTGCAGTACAAACAATAAAAAAATGTACACCCCCAGTGTATAAAATCCTTAATGTGTCTGGAAATAATTTTGCCATGCTTTGTACTGGAAACATGATTCTGGTGTTCAAATAAATCATTGAGCAGTAAAGCAATCTGGGGAAAAAAAAGTGTATTTTTTTTCTATTATTACCATTAACTCCTTTACACTGACCGTACGCATACATGTGACCTCACAGAAGTGGGTCTTTATCCATGGGGCCACATATATGCATCTCTTTTTGTGCTGGGAGTGTGCCACACAGCGCCATTGCAGCATGGAGACTGGGCTTTCACCAAGAGCCCAGTCTCCTTCTAAAGATCGGGACCTGGGACTCCCGGTTTCAGGTCCCTGATCACTATAAGGGGGCTTGGGTGTTGTCCAGAATGCCTACACATACAGAACTGAGGTGCTTAGACAGCTGTCAGATGAGAGTACTTACCTTAAACTGAGAAGGGATCTGTAAGCCGTGTACCAGGGTGGGCTCCCCAGGTACAGTGAAGTCACGAACGAGGAAAGCAACCCCAACACCAGCTTTTGCCACAACAGAATTTTACTTAGATGTGGCAAGTAAACACAGCCACAAATGCTGGGAACATACAATAAATTTACATACACCCAGCCCAAAGGATGAGACCCTTGTGCTGCACAGCACGGCGCCTTCTGATGGATGAAGGTAGAAAGTGAAGTAATTTACCTACTGGCGGGCACAACTAAGCTGCCACACCTTACCTGTTATTACCCTAAAAGAGCAAGAATCAGTGTATGGGTGTATGGTATGGGCTAGCCTGCGGTGCAGCACAACAGCTTACAATCTTACACAAATCTACAGTATTCCCCCTCCCATAACTGGTCCTGTAACACGTGCCTGAGTATTCCTTCTGAGCAAAACGCCAGTCTGGCTTGAGTTTGTAGGATTTTATCAGTTCTCCAATGTGAAATGTCACTTTAAGTGGTGGAGTCCTTCCAATAATCAGAAAACAACACTTGCAGCCTGACACAAACAGAGACCCTAACTAACTAACTATCAGTCTGGACTCAGTCTCTGGGCGCCAACACTGAAATGAGGTGCGTGCGCGATCTTACCGACCCGGGTCTGTTTTGCATCCGCTGGTGACTCTGAACAGAACAAATGTT